TTTGACAGTTTAAATCGTATGCCGTATATTATATTTCATAACGTCAATACAAAATACCGATGACGGGTTGTCAGCGCGCGGTCCTCTGGATGTAGTTGACGCGCTGCGTGCTTACTGCACCCCGCCAGCGAGCCGATAGCGCGCCGACAGTGAGCCGCCCGCCAGGCGAAAGCGAAACAACGCCGCATCGTATTCGTAACCCGCACGTGTCGCGGAGAACCTAACGGGTTACCGGGGCTCCAGCTCGACGTGCAGGAGAAGGAACGGGGTGGTTTTTAGTCAGTAAGAGTCTGACACTCACCCAGGCGCGACCAGTCATTCGATGATTTTCCCCCCTTAAAAAAACCCCCGCTCACGTGTTCTAGGCATTTTTTTTTAAAGCATAAACCGGTAAACGAGCAGACGGATCACCTGATGGTGAGCAATCGGCGTCGCCCATGGACACTCGAAACCCCGGCCTTTTGGGAATTGGGAATTTGAGGATTGTGGAGGATTCGGGGATTCGAGAGACCGGGACTAGGGAGGGGGTAATTGGGCTTATATTTATTTAGCCAAGGTATATATTCAATCGTAAATGCCAAGTATTGTTGACTATATAACACTCGTGACAAAAACCTTCCACGTCGCGGCCGGCGCGCTTTCACGACGCGGGCGACGCGCCGTAAGCGCGCTGGCGGCTTACCGTAGGTAAATTCAAAACAACGCCGTGCCGGAGCCGTGATTGTTAGATGTTCATGACCTTTTGACTTAAATACTATGCGACTATAATGTCTTATCATGTTAAAATACATTTATAATTGTAATAATTACTAATTATAAATCGGCATAGGTATATATTTCTACAACTAAAGCTAATCGTAGTCACAAAAACTATTAAATGCGATATTTCTTAGGTAAGCGACGTAAAATAATGAACGAAGGCACTTGGCAGCAAAGAAACGGAGCGTAGAAAGTTTTTCTTCATTACTTAATAAATATTTTATTAATTGGTAACGCATGTCGTATAAGAGGCAATTAGGTACTTTGCTTAATCAAAAATAAATTATTCCGACTGTTCAATACAATAACATATAAAAAAATAGTCCCACCTTTCATTAATTGATTTTATGACCAATTTAATTTTAGTATTTTTCCAGCAAATTTTCAAGAAATAACTATGCTGTTTGACACTAAAAAACGTGACGTCACAATACACAATCTCGTACAAAATTCATAGAACACTCTCGTTTTTGTCAGTTCGATAAAAGTATTGAATTTGACTAGTTGGCAAGTACACAATTTAGTTATCTTTAAAATGAAACCGTTTTTTTTTTTGTAAAAGAATAAGTTTATAGAGGTTTCGATCAAATGAAAAAAAAGGCTAGTGGCTCCATTTCTTTGTTCCCAGGTGCAGATATATATGTATTATAGCTGTTAAACTCAATTCTAACATAAGTATACTGAGAAATATTGACGCAGACATACCATACATAACCGAGTACCTGATAAAAATACAATTATACAGAGCCGTATTATCCCTAAGGCGCTCTAGACAAGTGCTGGGCGCCAGGTTACAGAGCGCCGCGAGACGCGCGTGTACAACTGTACATAGAGTGAGAGCGGGGACAAAATAAATTACGGGCGCCAATGAGGCGCTTGCCTAGGGCGCCCTCTAGGCTGAATCTGGCTCTGGCGCCTATTAAATACAATGATATAAAACATCTACTAAAATGCAGATTTTGAATGACTGGAGATTCGAAATTACAACATAAAAACAGTATTTGTATTGTAACTTTCGTGAGACATACTAAATAAATTATTATGTTTTCGGCTTACTCACGTAGTAATTCGACGAGGAACACGACTAGTTTCAAGCCATGCTAGAGGCTCATATTCAAGAGCAGCATTCCGCGACCCGCGACGCGGCGACTGTCGCGCTGCTACTACGACACTACGACTACTGCTACTACTACAGTCGCCGCGTGCTGCTCATGAATATGAGCCTCTAGCATGGCTTGAAACTAGTCGAGTTCCTCGTCAAATTACTAAGTGAGTAAGCCGAAAACATGATAATTTTTAAAAACAGTAGTTCTAGGAATGTATCAAAACAATTATTTAAATTCAATTAAATCTTAGTAAATAATACTTAAAACTATACATAGAAAAACAATTAACAACTAAATAGGTAATTTAAATTACATAAAGGTTTTAAAAACCAAAATTTTTCAGTCACTTTCATGACATTAATATGACACAGAATCAATATACTTATAGGTATAGGCGAATAATAAATTCTTAAAACTAACATTTTGGCAGATCTGTTTGTAGAGGTCCCTAATTACTGTAGAAATTAAAAATATAAACTTTAAAAAACCTATTACACAAACCTGTTAAACAATACACAAAGAAATGAAGTCACCATGTGGTATTTTAAGTTTCATACATTATAAGTGACATCTAAGATTTAAGATATTAATCTATTTTTTGGTATTTTAATTCTATATGTAATCTGAAGACTACTACACAGCCGAGTCCCCAAGCGATCACTGGTGACGACTCTCCACTTAATATTCCGATGTATAGAGATTACTTTGTATTCTAGTGTGTGTGACACCTCACCCTATACATAAGTAACGTAAGATAGATTTTTTTGACATTTAATTAAAGATATTCATAACAGTAACACATCTCCCTCATTGTTCCACATTGCAGTATGAACAATATAAGATACACAAGTTAACTCGTCGAGTACCGGTTTTATAGACACAATTAAAGAACAATGGGTCGTGGTCACCGGTGACCGCTTGGTGTTTGACAGTTTAAACCGTTGACATTTATCCCCTTAATTTGTTCATACAAAAGTAGTCTCTAAACTTTGGAAATAATGTCTATAATGTAGTTAGTGGAGAGCGGTCACCAGGGACCGCTTGGGGATGTATGGGTTAAGATAATGGTTCTGTTATAACACACAGTATCGCATTAGAAATCAAAATGTACAAGACCAAAATCCAATTTTGCATATCACAAGAACAGAGCCGTATTATCCCTAAGGCGCTCAAGACAAGTGCCGGGCGCCAGACTACAGAGGGGCGCCCCGAGACACACGTGTACAACTGCACATAGAGTGAGGGCGGGGACAAAAAGAATTAGGGGCGCCAATTATATGCTTGCCTAAGGTGTTTTATAGATTTAATTCATCTCTGCAAGGACCTCTACAAACGTAATACAACCTTAATGACACATATGGAACTTAATCATCCCAGCATTCATTGTCAGGATCTTGCTGTGGCAGATAATCCTTCTGTATCAGCTGTATCGGAGTTTGTTTTGCTCCAACCGTACTATTGTTGCTTTTAAGACTCATGTTTTGTACCTTTTCTAGCCTATTCGGACATACTTCGTAGTGAGCTTTCATCAGATGTGTCGGGTAACGGTGCGTAGCGTTGAAGGGGCATATGTCTAGCGGCGGATGGGTCTTCTCGCATTTGATGATGTGATGCTGCAGCCTAGAGCGGGCTACTCGGTGGGCTGGGTCGTATGGACATGATGCATAGTTCTCGTTGTTTATCATATTGGCTGGAAGAGAAAACAATTCTTGCTGTTATTAATGTCACAATTAAGGGTGAGGCGAGTGAATGTCAGACTTTTACTGACTAAACACCACCCCGTTCCTACTGCTGCATTTTTTTTACATTTCATGGGCCTTCGACTACTATCTCGCCTGGTGGTAAGCGATGATGCGGTCTATGATGGAGCACGTCATCCCATAAGCAACCTATTCACTCGGGCCTTGAAGACACCCAGGTTACCTATACCCTTCAGGGAATACAGACTGGCAAAAAATTCCACTCCTTAGCAGTTCGAGCATTGCTCTGAGCCAGAACCACGGTAATCCGTTAAATTGTTAATAGCTTCGTTATTGCTTTATGAGACTAATGCCGGAATACTGAAACGTTACTCAATTTTAAGTCGTGCTCAAATATCGTGCCATCTCTGTCATTTTACAAAGAATTTGTAGAGATAGAACTATACTTAAGCACGATTTAAAATTGAGTAGCGTTTCAGTATTCCGACATATGTTGGTTCAACTGATAGCCACTTCCTTTATTTCTAAAATGCTGACTATCCTTTGGCATTCTCAGAAACAGTCGTTATTTTTCGACTATTGTCGAATACATTTTCATGACAATTCTGTGATATGAAAGACATTTAATTTGAATTATAAATAAGCCATTTACTATTTTTAATGTAATTATAAACGCACGCATTTGAAAAAAACACTATCGAGTATTTACAAAAATAAATATCACTGATTTCATGTAAGAAATTTGAGAAATAACTAGTTCTTACCTGAGTTTTGATAAATAATACTGAATTTAACACTGTTTATCTGCAATTGTATTGTTTGTTTTATTTAAATTTAGTTATATTTTTGTCCCAAAGAATAAAAATACCGGCGCGGGCCGCGGCTGTCACTTTCACTTTTGTCTTTTGATTGAAGGGAAGGGAATTGATCGAAAAAGAGAAAACCGTTAATTAACGATTTTAAATTTATCGTTAGCGGATTGTTTATTTGCTGTTTATTTGTTTATTGATTAACACGGTATACACCAAGTACATTAATCAAATTAAATTACAACAAATAAAACGAAATTGTTATCGATTTATCAATATTGAAATTATTTAATATTGTATTATTACCATATTGACTCCGAAAAACGACCATTTTTATTCTCGTTACCTTTTCGGAGCAAAATACATCATATTTAAATATATTTAGATTTTCCTCGTTTGTTTCAGTTTAAAAAGAACTTTGGCACTTCCCATCCGATTTTAGTGTTGTCGTTAACAATGTCGAGACTACTGGCTCAGCACTTAAGTTTCTAAACGTACGTAATACTTAATGTCAAATACATGCTTCTCTTCTGTCACTTATAGTGTCAAATTGTTTTAAAGTCCTTGTATTTTATCGTATTTTGAATTAGTTTCAAAATAACTTGAAAACTGGCTTAAATTCCGATATGAGTACGCCGAATAAAAGGAAAGATAACATGGAAGGTACGAACAAGTCATTTCTCATTAGATTCATATTGATATTTTGATGTAAAACAGAAAATTTTATCTTTATTTCAGATAGCGGTATCAATGCAAAAAGACCTAAATCTGAGTGTCCGTACGCAGAGAAATGTTTCAGACTAAATCCTATACACTTTAGAGAGTATAGCCATGCTCATTGTAAGTATAAAATAGTTTAATAGTAACTTTTTGTTCAAACATATGTTAAAGAAGTTGTTTATTGTAAAATGCTTGTTAAAATCTCTTAAATCCTGATTTTATTGTTCAGTCTATTACACTCCTATAGAACCAATAACATAACCTAACATCACGCCTTTTATCCCCGAAGGGGTAGGCAGAGATGCACATTACGGCACTTAATGCTACTGTATAATGTAACACTCACTTTTTACTATTTATGTTTTGAGTCCCATGTATGGTTGCCACCTGTTTTTTTGGTATTTAAAGTACATTGACAATTATAGGTAAGAAAAAAAAGTACACAGTAAAAAAATAAAGTACAATTTATTCTTATTTAGTTAGTATTATATTTAAAAATATATTTTTATTGCTTTTTGCATTTTTTATTTAAACTGTCAAATACCAAGCGGTCACCGGTGACCGCGACCTATTGTTCTTTAATTGTGTCTGTAAAACCGGTACTCGACGAGTTAATTAGTATCTTTACTATACAATTGCATCTTTACTAGAAATTGTCTAAGTGGCGCTGGCGAGTGGCGAAATCGATCCAACATACACCGATAAATATCAATATCAAATCTATAAGTTTACCGATAAATACTTATGACTTTAATAGAAATGAAATTTGCAAAAATAAAGTATTTTCGTGTACTTTATTATTTTTATAAAGTATAGAGTTACAATTACCTTAAATAACGTACAATACTTTATTATCCCATGTAATAGGGAGTGAGTGTATTGCCATATACTGGGCACAATTCCAGAGTCCATGCTACTGGTGAGTTTTTTTAAACCCAGTGATACTTTGTCTGACCCGGAATTCAAACCTACACCCCTTGCCTTGCCCGGCAGTCGTACTTGTGACCACTCGGCCAATGAGACAGTCCTATAAAACTATATTTGAAAAAACCAACTTCAAAGACGATATACTACAATAGAACTCTACCTTTCCTCTTGATATGTAAATTTCTTTATTTAGACATATAATTTATATATTGTATGTATTTATTTATATATTATATGTATTTCTTATAGGTGTACTAGCTTTTACCCGTGGCTTCGCTCGTGTTATAAAAGCATAAAAAGTAGCCTATGTGACATACCAATATATACAGTGCCGTCTATAACAATACTTTTGTTTTCCCTCGGGAATATCAAATTTTTCCGGGATAAAAATTACCCTATTATTTAATCCAGACTTCTATCTTAAGTCTGCAAAAATTTAAAGCAATCGGTTTATTAGTTACGGCGTGAAAGCTGAACAAACAAACAAATTCACTTTCCGATTTATAATATTAGTAAGTATAAGGATAAGGATATAAACTTTGCAAGCGACATGTTTAAATTATTACCCTTAATATTTTCCAGTGGAATCAATCCTGGACTCGTACACTGGTACCGGAGAGTTTCCGATCCCATCGAAGCTGTGTGGTCAGAGACAGATGTATGTAGACCAGTTAAAGATGATGGTCCACAAACAAATATATGCGCACGGCAGGAACTTTGATATTGATGCTAGTAGCAGGTACATACTACATATTATCATATAATATCATAAACTAGACTGCCTCGTTGGCCGAGTGGTTACAAGTGCACTGCTAGGCAAAGGGTCTCGGGTTCGATTCCCGGGTTGGGCAAGTTAATACTTGGTTTTTTAAAAAATCCCAGTAGTAGCACGGAGTTTAGAATTGTGCCAGGTATATGGCAATAGGCTCACCCACTATTCCATGGGACTCATAACATAAATAGTGAAAAGTGGGTGTTGCATTGTACAGTGGCATAATGTGCGCCTCTGCCTACGCCTTCGGGGATAAAAGGCGTGATGTTATGTTATGCAAGTATTTATAGTGACGTACCGCCCGGCCTATTGTCCTCGCCCAGACAGCGATGGTCCCGGAACAGTTTGTTGGTGGCGAACAGGTGCCAGCACACGTTGCACTTGACGTCCGGCATCTCGGGGAACGGGATACATTGGTTACTGCTGAAATGTCTGGAATAACAACATATTTTAATAACATGTAACATAATAAAAACATATACACAATAAAAACATATTTCAATAACGAGGATAAAAGGCGTGATGTTATGTATGTTATGTAAACAATACAACACATAATTTTCATAATTAGTCTTAGTAAGTACATACAATTTGGAAATAGTCTTATCGGTACTCTTTCTAAGATTATTTAGACACCACTGACGAAGGAAGACATCGTTAGGAAACCTGGGCTTATAATTTCTAATTATAAGTTTGTAAACGACAACCAGCATTGAGTGAGCGTGGTCATAGGGTAGACGACTAATTTTTATTTTAATGTCCGTCTGGTAGATTATTTAAAAACATTAGACACTTATTTTTTCTTTTCTCACAGAAACGAATAGTTTCGAAGATATATTGATTTGAAATGTCGCGTGACGTCACTTCTCAGTACATTTTATACTAAGAAATGACGTTTTAGCCCCCACTCCTAAACTTTGATTCGTTTTATCTAAGTATTGTTTTATTATACGACAAAATAAAAAAATACGTGTCTAATATTTTTTCATTACCTAACTTACGGACTAATTATATTTTTAATTTTCATACCCTGTCATCATCCCCATTAATGCTCAAACCTTCTCCGTGTGAGAAGAGGCTTTGGTTGCCAGTGGCTACTTATAGGCTGTTGATAATAACACTGGTCAACACTGATTTTGCCACACGAACTTTGATAGCTAATTTTGTTTTATCAATCTACCCTCATTGTTGACGCCTAACCCTACGTCGAGAGCGGGGGGTCTGCCCGCCTCCCCCCCTCCTCGTCACGGAGTGTATATATGGGAGTGCGCCGGATCATCGATCATCGATCGACGACTAGTTTTGAATTCATTCCGCTCATAAGGACAATTAATATTGTAAAAAGATTTAAAGTAATAAATCAGTTAGTATATTGGCATCCAGGATTTATTTTCAGCTCCGCACACAATACCTGACACACCACAGTATAAACAGTATAACCTAGCCCTAGACATTTTGGTGCCGTGACCAGGATCAGGATATTGGAAATTGTATATACCAAAGGAGAACAAATTGAAGGAAAAGGCTAAGGATACAAGGAGATTAAGGGATATAAGGAAGAGAGAGTATAGCAAAGGGATAATTATATACGCCAAATTTGGTGAGCCCATTCCTTTTTTTTTCCATTTACCTACTAATATTTTCCTAGTGTCGATATTTGATAGATTTTGTGGTAAGGTTTCTGATATTCTGTTGTTTGTTTGTTTAAAACGTGAGGATTATTTAATTTAATTACACAACGTAGGATTTGTCGTATTCAGCAATGTCTTTAGCTTCCAAAAAAGCCGCAGAGCCAATGAAACGACGAAGTTACATTAAGGGTAGACTGACAATTTTTAAATCGTATTTAGAGGATATTAACGATCTAGAAAAACTATCAGATCAGCAAATTTCCGAGCTACGATTAAGATTAGCTAAATTAGAAGCGTGTTTCTCAACATTTGATGATTTACAGTCCGAGATTGAAATTGAATCTGAGGATACGAGCGAACAAATGAAAATTCGTTCTGAAATCGAAGATCAATTTTATTCTTTAATTTCTCAAGGGCAATGCATTTTAGACAAATTAGAAGTTAATGCTAAACGTAAAAGTCTAGTTCATCAATCCTTTAGACAATCTGGAAGTTTCGAAAGTGCAGACGCATTTACTAGTTCTATAAAATTACCCACAATTAAGTTACCCACCTTTGATGGGACTTATAGCAAATGGTTAGAGTACAGAGATACGTACGACGCACTAATACATAAAAACGAAAATATTGACCCAATAAATAAGTTTCATTATTTACGATCCTCATTAGAGGGTAGTGCGGCATTAATAATCAACTCACTATCGTTTTGTTCAGATAATTATATCCTTGCATATGACTTACTGTGTCAACGATTTAACAATAAAAGACTTTTAATAAGTAATCATATGAAAGCATTATTTAATATGGAATGTATTTCAAGGGAGTCTGAAAAATCATTGCGTTTTATGATTGATAATATAACTAAGAATCTAAGGGGTTTAAAGTCGTTGGAACAACCGGTAGAATATTGGGATACCATAATAATTCACTTAGCAGTAAATAAACTAGATAATTCAACTTCTAGGAAATGGGAAGAATATAAAAGTTCTATAGGAGATATACCAACACTTCAAGAATTCTTTAGATTTTTACGTGATCGAGCTGACGTAATCGAATCGAGCAAGTCTAGTAAATTAAGTGGAAATAGCAAAAATGAAAGGACTACGAATTTGAGTGCGTCTGCTCAGGTTAACAATAATCGTCCCTTGAATTGTGTCGTTTGTAAACAAGATCACCGCTTGTTCGAATGCACGAGGTTTATTTCTATGAGTTTGACAGAAAGAAACGAAGTTGTATCAAAAAATAAATTGTGTCTTAATTGTTTTAAACCTGGACATCGCGCGTTTAATTGTAAATCATCTGGCTGTCAAATATGCAAGTATAAACATAATTCCTTGTTGCATAGGAATAAACCTCAAACAACAGATAAAAATGTTAATTCGAACAGCAGTGTGCATCAGGCGATAATCGAAGCGGGAGTAACCTCAATGCCGTCCGAGTTGATCACTGTGCCTAAGTCACATGTGTCCGCTCCGGCGGCGCAGCTCGCCGCGGAACCGGTTTCCTTATCTACGATCGCCACTAGACACGTACTTCTTTCAACCGCGCTAGTTAAAGTATTAAACAAATTAGATAATAAATATTATGTGGCACGCGCATTGCTGGATTCTGGTAGCCAAATATCGATTGTAACTGTAGACTTATGTAATAAATTAGGGTTGTCGCGCACAGGAACTGATGAAAGTTTGAGTATTTATGGTATAGGAAATAGTAAAGTACAAGTAGCAAATAGCTGTAAGTTATTGATAAACTCAATGCATAGCGATTTTTCGGTAGAAGTTCACTGCATGATTTTGCCAAAAATTACGAATAAGTTACCAAATGTAAAGGTAAAGGTAAATGAATTGAATATTCCCGGTGACATATTCGTGAATTTAGCGGATAGTAGATTTTATGAACCTGCCGACGTAGATATGTTAATAGGAGCAGATTTGTTTTGGGACATAGTGACCGGCCAGCAAGTAAAGTTAGATAAGGGTTTTCCCACATTGCAGAATTCCAAGTTAGGTTGGCTCGTCACTGGTCCAGTATATAGTAGGACTGCTCCACGGTATGAGGTAAAATGTAACTTAACTACAAGTTTAAGTGAACAATTAGAAAAATTTTGGAAAATTGAAGAAGTCTTAAATATAAATAAAAAGCCGTATAGCTCTGACGAAGAAATTTGTGAAAAACATTTTGTAGAAAATACCATTAGATTGAGTGACGGTAGGTTTTGCGTGAAGATGCCATTTCACACCTCTCCTTCCATACTAGGCGATTCGTTAGGGAAGGCTAAATCACGTTTTATTAATTTAGAGAAACGGTTTAAGAAACAACCTGGCGTGAAGAGTTCCTATACAGAATTTATAAAGGAATATGAACTATTAAATCACTTGTCTGAGACTGGGAAGCCTGCCTTTGGATACTATTTACCGCACCATCCCGTCATTCGCGAAAAAAGTGAGACGACGAAACTTCGTGTCGTTTTCAACGCGTCAGAGAAAACGAGTAGCGGGTATTCGTTAAATGATATCCAAATGGTGGGTCCAGTTATTCAAGACGATTTATGCAGCATATTGCTCAGGTTTAGGCAACACAAATTCGTCATGACGTCAGATATTGAGAAAATGTATAGGCAAATATTAATATCGGAAAGTCAACGACATTTGCAAATGATAGTATGGCGGTATAGTGATTACGAACCGTTAAAGTATTTAAAGTTGAACACTGTTACCTACGGAACCGCGTCCGCTCCGTTTTTAAGCACTCGTTGTCTTTTACAGTTATCACATGAGTGTGATGATTTAGAGATAAAGAAAATAATTAAGCGTGATTTTTTTATGGATGACCTAATTACTGGGCATCAGACTGAGGAGGGTTTAAATAGAATTTGCCGAATAATTACAAAAACCTTAAGTTCAGCTGGATTTAACTTACGAAAATTTCGATCAAACGCATCTAAGTTATGTTGTGAAAATAAATCAAATGAAGTGCAATCCATTACTGAATTCAAAACGGTTACTAGCACTTTAGGTTTAACTTGGTCGCCCGAGTCTGATGTATTAAAATTTTGTGTACAAGTAGACAACCATGAAAAAATTACCAAGCGAAGTATATTATCTTCTATTGCAAAAATTTTCGATCCGCTGGGTCTTTTAAGTATTTTTGTGATTAAGGCTAAATTAATACTACAGAAGTTGTGGTTGGATAAGTATGGATGGGACGACCTCGTAACGGGAGAAATACAAACTTTGTGGCGCAACTTTATTAAAACCATGAATTCTCTCAACTGTGTTGAAGTACCTAGGCATGTCATGTGTGCCGAGGTAGTACATATAGAACTTCATTTTTTTT